TCAGGCATTTTCATCGAAGATTGGAAACGTGCTTACATTTCCCCTATTTTTAAGAGTGGAAATAAAGCTGATGTAAGAAACTACCGCCCAATTTCTAAATTATCTACAGTTTCAAAACTTTTTGAAAGCGTGATAAAGGCTAAACTTTGGTTTAATCTTAAGCATTTGATTTGCCCGAATCAGCACGGTTTCGTTTCGGGAAGATCTACAATAAGTAATTTAGCATTTTTCGCCGATGATTGCTTTGATGCGTTCCAAAATGGTCACCAAGTGGACGCAATTTACACTGATTTTGCTAAAGCCTTCGATAGGATCTCACATTCTGTCCTAATTGCTATACTCAACCATTTAGGTGTTCATTCCGGCTTCCTTAAGTGGATTATGTCGTATCTTAGTGGTCGGAAAAGTTCAGTTCTCCTGGATGCAATATATTCTAAAACTATAATTTCCACTTCGGGTGTACCAGAAGGCAGCATACTGGGCCCATTATTCTTCATTTTAATTATAAATGATATAGGATCATGCTTTTCAGCTGTTAACTATCTGCTTTATGCCGACGATCTGACTCACTTGTCCTTCAGGCTGATTTGGGGAGGCTGTATTTACGGTGTGTAAAAAAAAGGCTTTTTCTTAATATAAAGAAATGTCATCAAGTAACCTTCTCCAAGTTGCTGCAGCCCTTTCAAACTTCTTACCATATTTGCAATACCCGTTTAGATTCGCTTAATGAAGTGAAAGATCTCGGTGTCTTTTTCGACTCCAAGTTTACTTTTGTCACGCACATAAATTATACTATTTCTAAATCGTTTTCAATGCTTGCCTTTATTCGTCGCAATAGTAATTGTTTCTCCAATCCATATACTCTTAAAACCTTGTACCCTGCTTTTGTTCGGTCTAAATTAGAGTACGCCGACTTCATTTGAAGACCGTATCATCAAGTACATATCATTCGGCTGGAATTGGTTCAGAAGACATTTTTACGGCATGCTTTGCGATCCCTTAATTTTTCCGAGCCGATCCCACCATACTTAGCGCGTTGTCAATTGATCAACCTAATGACGCTGAGCAATAGAAGAATTTTCTTGTCTGTATATTTTATGCTTGATATTGTCTCGGGCACTGTCGACTGCCCTAATCTTAGCAGAGTTAAGTTTGACATCCCCGCAAGAGTTTTACGCAATTACGAGGTTTCTGCTATTGGTTTTAGTAGAACGCTCTATGGCAGTAATGCACCAATCAAAAGAACCCTGTCTGAACTGAACAAACTCTCAAGTTCTTTGGACCTAGATCTCTCGCTCGCGAAGAATGTCTCAAATAATAAACTTAAGCTTTTCTTATTATATAAATCCATTGTATAAGTAATAATATACATATTATTATTTTTCTATTATGCTTTGGTCTGTACCTGTAATTAGACTATAATGTATAAAAATAAAAATAAAAAATAAGAATCTCACGATTCTGATATATTATCTCAAGGTATTCAAGAGAAAGAAGGTATATCACAATTAAAAAAACAGCTTGATTCCTATCTTAATGAGCAACGTATTCCTCGGGATAGTAATATTTTTGAATATTGGCATCAGAGTCCATATTTTCTCTTAAAAAAAAGGTACCAAATATCTGTCAGCTCCGGCGTCAAGCGTTGCGAGAGAACAGCTTTTCAGTGCTGCGGGTCAGCTATATAGCGATAGGCGTACCAATTTACTCGGAGAAAACGCCAATAAGCTTCTATTTTTGCATTACAATATTAAATTATTCAACTTTGACTATTAATTTAAAGACGTACATATGCATGTACATGCCTAGCATTT